GGGCAGCTTCGCAACCCAGCGCTCAACCGCTGCGCCACCGGGGAGGCCCCTCTCCTGATCCCTCTTTAAGACTCTGGAAGCTCCGATTCCTTAAGCTCTGGGGGAAGACTCCGAAGGAATTTAAAATGAAAGTATATATTGACCAGAGTTTCCAAAGAGTCTGGTAGCACCTCAGTGGGATTCTAGGGGGGCTGTGATCCCTGTTTATCTGAGTGATCCCTATTCATCAGGCTGGAGGTGGATGGACGCCTGGGGCGCCTCAGTGCATCCCTGAGGAATTTCCTGTTATTTAGGAAGCTCCATGTTGGGGGGATCTTGGGACCCTGTGTCATCACCTCATTAATCTGGTGCATTCTACGCTCCTCCAGATCCATCTTGGCCCGAAGGAACCCCTCGTGCTCGCTGATTTCTCCAGGCATGCCAAAGTACACGTCTACACCGTCTGTGGGCCTCGGGGTAGGAGTCACTGCAAGACCAGAAGGCAGAGTCAGCCTGCAGCCCGCCTCCAGGTCCTCCTCCTACCTGGAGGATTTCAGTCCCCGAAGTGCACCGGATGCCGCGTGTATCCTTTCAGCAACCGCTGCTGCCTGGCATCTCGGGACAGGGGGAGGGACCGGACTGGGTCTGTTTTTACAAAGCTTAGGAATCCATTGCACCCTCTAAGCTTTCCCAAAATAATCCTTAATGGCTTCTCTGCTTCCAGGTAACCCCAACCACCCTACCACTCGCCTTCTTCACAGGCCAACCCCTCCACTTCTGCTTTAGCCAAAGCTACTCCCACTCTTTCTGTTCCCCGCCCCCTGTCTGTCCACTCCCCCATATGTCCTTCCTAAAAATGCCCCTAGAGAAAGGCATGTTCCCTCTAGGGTGGAGGGGCCTAGGGGTTCAGAGACCACCTCACCTTTACTGACCGCTGCAGGGGTCTGGGAGGCCGAGGGTGGGACCCTTTCCTGCTCATCTTCCTCCCCGACTCGTGGGGGTTCCACAAAGTAGTCATCCACTGGCTGCAGGAAGGATTCTTCTTCCTCATCTTCAGCCCCCTCTACCCTGCGCCCCGGGGGCCAGGACCGGGTGGAGGGGTCCCTGCAGGAGCAGGACAAGGTCCAAGGCAGTAAGAAAAGCGCAGGCCTCCAGGCTTGCGTCTCCTACCCAGGGGCCTTGGGGTGGGCAGAGGATTCCCTCCCACTTACCCGTCCGCTGTCCCTGCTGGGTCAGGGGTCGCTGGAGGTGGGCAGCACACATACTCCACGCCTCGGAACCGATCCGCACCACAGGGCAAGAGCATGCCTGAGCCGTGCAGGATGAGGCCCTGGGAGCTGCAGGCCTGCAGGAAGAGGGGTCTGGGTGCCAGGGTTGTGGGATAGGAGAGTCTTGAAAGGGCTCCTGGAAGCCGGGGTGGTGAGGGTTGATGGGGCTGAGAGTTTGGATTTGGGGTTCTGCCCGTGGGAAGAGCAGGTTGGAGAACCCAAACTTGGGTTCTGCAGGAGGGTGTTAAGGGACTGAATTCCACATTCTGGAATCGGGGATGAATGCACCAGCGTCCTGACCTCCTGTGCCTCCTGATGCCTCCGGGTTGAACTCTCGCACTGGTCCATGCGCTCCTGGTGTAGGAACCGGCAGCCTTCAGGTACCAGCAGGGCCTCGCTCACAAATTCACCCGCTGGGGAACAGGAGGGGGCGCCAGAGTGAGACCATCCCACAGCCACCAGCCTGGCCCTCCTCAGAACGCAGATGGTTTATCCTGGGAGGCGTGTCTGTTTCACCCTGTCCCCAAGCATCCAGTTCACTGATGTGGGCGTGAGTCTGGGGCCCAGAGCCTTGCCTCCTGGAGACCCACACCCCGCTCCCCTCACCCAGCCTGTGACTCACGCAGGCAGCGGAAAGGCACGACCTGGTGGTGGGGGTGGGCACAGCGCCCGCTCCGGACATCCCCACACCAGTGCTCCATGGGGATGGCCTGCGTAGCCTGTTCCACACGTGCAATCTGCAGCTCCGGGTACATCTGGGGGGACAGATTAAGGGCGATCAACCCACTGACCCGCCCGTGCCAACTGAGCTTCTGCACCTTTTTCAAAGCTCCTAAGCACTTCCCCAGGCACTGCTTCTCCAGATCTGGCCTCAGGCAGTTCAGTCCTGCTCGCCTATTGGCCAAGCCCCCTAACAGTTCTCCCTGCTAAGTCCCTCCATCTTTAGGCCTTTGTCCACATTCCTTTCAAAGGACCCCCTCATCTGCCCATAAATTCAGTCCCTCTCTTTAGACACCTTTGCTCCCTGCCCCCCCTCAGGGTTGGCTCCCTCCTCCTTTAAGCCCCCCCCCCCTTTCTTGATCTCTCAGTGTCTCTCTTTACATTACACCTGCCGAGCTTCTCACACCGGCTCTTCACCTTTTCCCCAGTGTGGCTGGTTCCTGAGGCCTTGTCTTAGCCCCTCTCCTTTGCTCACACCCACCACGCCCCAGCTCTTTAAGGAGGCCTGCACACGCTGCTACAAGCTTCACCTGATGCCTTCTGCAGCTGGCCTTTGCACAGCTCTCCCCCTTTCTAACCCAGTTGCTCCAAAACAAGCCCTGCCCTACGCTCACTTCGCTTCTTGGTGGCCACGGCCCCTCACCTCGCTGGGCCGTGCCTTTTGCACCAGCGACCGTGCCCAGCCTGCACCCACGTCGCCAGGGCCGCGGCCCCTCCCCAGGCGCGCCCACCTGTCTGCAGTACTCCAGCACGCGCTGCGGGTCCCGGAGACACAGCCGCGAGAGCTGCGGGTCGGGCTCCCAGCGGCCGGTGCGCAGGTCCCGGTGGAGGGTTAGGTGCCCGCATAGTCCAGTCACTTGGGCCGAGCCCGGCGCCTGGAGGTGGAGGCGGAGGGATCTGCAAGGGCTCGGGGGGGGGGGGGGGGGGGGCGCTGGCCTGTGGGTCACCCCGTCCTTTGCGCCCTAGGACCCAGATGCTCAGGCCCCCCAGCACCAGCCCCCCTCAGCCAAGGACCGCGCGCCCGCCTGCGGAGACGCGCGGTTCTCGAGGAAACAGCTCCCACTGGGCGGGGGCGCCCCAGCTCTCCTGTTGCTATGGTGACCAGGGTCCCCCGGGATTCTCACGGCCCTGTTGCCGCGGAGACAGGCTCCGCCCCCACCCGGCGCAGCCGCACTGTAGCCCGAAGGGGTTAAACCCGAATCGCGGGGGAGGCGGCCAGAACCCGGGCGCTCTGGCCCCTCCTCCCTCGAGCCCTAGCCCAGGCGCCCCTTCTCGGGTGCAGAGACCACAGGCCTGGCTTCAGGGCCCTGCGGGCCTGGACATCAAGTCCTTGGGGGCTGGGAGCTGCATCCGGAGGTCCGGGGGGCGGTGGCTGGAGGCCTGGACCCCCGAGCCCGGGAGGCGGCAGGGCCCCTCACAGCGGTGCAGAGGATGCCAGCGACCCGCGCCCTCCGGGACCTGGGTGCCCTGCAGCCTGGCGGGGCCCGCGTGCCAGCGAGAAGGGGCTGGGGCTGAGTCACCTAGATCAGGAGGGTCTGGGGGGGCTGGATCTCCGAGACCAGGGGCTCTTGAGAAGCCAGTTCCCACGCTGGGGGCGGGAGGGGGCTGGGCCCGCGGGGGGGGAGATGGGCCTGGACGCCTGGGGTCGTGAATGCCCAGTGCGGTTCGGGGCTCCCGGGGTCGGGCCCCCGGCTGGAGAGACCGCGCTTCCCGCCCGGGACGCGTCCGCTCGGGGCCTGGAGGCCGGTCCCGCCCCTTCCCCCACCCCCAGGGCCCGGCCGGGTCTCACCTCGGCCGCGCCGGGGCTCCCTCCGGCCGGGCTCCCGCCGGCGGGCCGCGCGCGCAGGAGCAGCAGCAGCAGCGGCAGCAGCGGTGACAGCGGCGGCGCGCCCCGGAGACGGCGCAGGCCGCCCGCGGCGGGGCTGGCGGGCCCCATGTCCCGGCGCTCGCGCCCTCGCGTCCCCTGCGCTCCCGCCCGGCCCGGCCCCGGCGGTGACAGGAGCTCCCAGCGCCGCCGCCGCCTCCCGCCGCCCCCGGGCTGCGCCGGCGCCGCCAGCCCCGCCCCGCCCGGCCCCGCCTTCCCGGCCAGGACAATAGCGCGGCGGCGCTGCGCAGAGTGGAGCTCGCGGGCGGGGGGCGCCTGCGCCAGCCCCGCCCCCTCCAGCCCGGGGCTCCCGCCCCGCGCGCGGCCTCGGCCTGGGCGGTGGGGCGGCCCCGCGCGCGCGTGGATCCGCCCCCGGCCCGCCCCCCGGCTCTCTCCCCCGCGGCGCGGCTCCCACCCCTGCCAGGGAAGCCGGGATGGGAGACCCCCGCGCCCCAACAAATAACTCTCCTGAGGCCTTCGAATAGGGATCTCCCGAATTTCCACAGTCGAGAACACGGCAGCTGAGACTCAGACTCCAGAGTCGGCCCCCCACCTTCTCGCTTACAGACCAAGCCCCCGGCCCTTTCTCGAGACCCAGGAATCCGGGCCTGCTGCTCTGCTCCCCAGGGACCCCTGGTGTCTGGGCCTTTACTTCCTAGTTCAAGTATCCGTGAACCAAAGCCCCCAGATCCTTTTTTTTTTTTTTAAGATTTATTTATTTATGCATACAAGACGGGGTACAGGCCAGAGATGGGGTGTGTGTGAGAAGGTTCGACACAGACAGGGTGGGAACAGAACAGGCAGACTGACTGAAATACACTGCTGAGGGGAGCAGCAGGTGAGACAGGAGAGGTCTGCTGCACCATGTGGGTTGCTCCCGGCCAGCCGGGGATCAAACTCGCGCTGCAGAGGCTGGGGATTGCTTCATAGCGCAGTGCTTAACCCCTTGCACCACCAGGGAGGCCCCCCCAGATCCTTTCTTAAAAGAGTCAGGTATCCAACACCTTATCCATCCAGGACCCAATAAGTACCTCAGGACAGGAGTCTGGACCCACATCTGTGCTCTAAGGACCAGGAAATCTCTCTTCCTCCCCACCCCCAGCCTCTCCCTCCCCTCTAGGGCTCCATGTTTTGTCACCTCAAATGACAGTGTAGATTCCTTTCTCCCCCTCCCCACCCCGGGGCTGACCCCGGTAACCCTGCCATGCACCTGCATCTGTGCATATGTATTTGTGCGGATGTATAGCAGAGGGCCCTGGAGACCTAACGGGACCTGAAGGTGGCTCACAGTTTTGCTCCTGTGGCTACTTGGGGATCTAGGGTAGAGGAAGGCCGCTGAGGCAGGTCTGATGACTTCCTTCAGCGATAGAGGGTGACCTCAAGAGGACCTCGAAGGCACACTCACTTCTTTGCCATTTTTTTTATTAAACATAAATATTCTCATCCCCAGATTTTCCTCCTTCTGCCCCATCCTTACCCCGTGGGTCCAATTCCTCTAGGACCTTTCAGGAAGATAGAAGGAATCAAGATGGTGGCCATACGGGTTTCCCAGGGAATGAACAGCCTTTTGGCTCCACTTCCTCAGGGAGAACCAGCACACGCCCTGGTCAGGCCTCCCTGAATCTTCTCAGTGTAGGTGGTCATCCTGAAGCTCCTCCTTTCAGTGTCTGGAAACGACTTCCACCCGTCACTTCCCTGTCCCCATCCTTCTGTGGCAGGCTCATGCGCCATCTTGAACCTCTTTGACATGGGGAAATAGGTGGACATGGCGGCCATTTTACTGTCATGTGGTACATCCATCAATGACTCAGACAACTGTCACGATCTTTCTCTCCCTTCGGTGTTCAATTTTGGAGGCGTGAGATCACCAACTTGGTGTGGTTCCTTGGAAATCAGGACAATCCAATACGGCAAGTTGAAGATTTCAGGACTCTTCCGTCGGAGATTTGTCATACATGAGTCTGGAGGCGCTGGTGGATGGGTGTGGGGAAGGGAGCATACGGGAAGGGGGGCGTCCCAGGGGCCAGATCTGGGGTTCCAAAGGTCGTGGGTTTGACGTAACTGGTGAAAGCTCGAGGGTGGGGTGTGGTGAGGTAACCTGCCCGCGCTCGGTACAGTCTGCAGGGGGGGGCCATGCCCAGGTGCGGGCTGAAGTCATAGAAGGTAGGAGCCCCTGGAGGCCCCAGCGGGGAGGATGGTGGCAGGAAGAGGCCGCCTCCGGGGGCTTCACCAAGACTCAGGCTCACACTGACCCCTCGCACTTTATAGTAGCCATTGGTCGGGTCCTGAGGAGACAAAGGGGACTTGGTAGGTGAGGGTGAAGGGGCGCGAGGGTCGCTGGAGGAGAGACCCTGGCATAGAGCTAGACCCAGACAGGGAGAAAGACAGAAACAGAAGCAGGCAGAGGCCCAGAGACAGAGACAGACACACAGACTGCCAGAAAGACAAAGTGAGACAGAAAAAATAGTGCAAGAGACAAAGAAACAGAAGGAGGTGGGCAGAGAAAGACAGAGACAGAGATGGAGGGACACAGGTTCACCCCCTCTCTGAAAGTAGAGTATTAAAGTGAAGAAACAATTGTCATTGATTTGTCTGGAAAAAATTTTGAGATTTTCCCAGCCCGCAAAATAACCTCCCAAACGTTACCCGGTAACACATAAGACCTAAACTAACACCGACATGTAGTAGCAGCAGGCGTGATATAATAATTGCACAGTCTGATTAAAGTAGTTCAAGGGAAGAAACTTTGGGGGCACTCTTTCAACTTGGGGTGTGCACTGCCTCCAGAATAGCTACTGCAAGCAGATGCTGAATGTGCCTTTTGTCCTAAAAGCAGAAATCCTCTTTGGATTTCTTTCTTTCTTTCTTTGAAGATTCATTTATTATACATACAAGAACTGGGGTACAGGCCAGATGTGGGGGGGGGGTGAGAGGATTCACCAGAGACAGAGTGGGGAACAGAACAGGCAGATCCACTGAAATACACTGCTGAGGGGAGCAGAAGGGAGACAGGAGAGGTCTGCTGCACCATGTGGGTAGCTCCCTGCCCAGGAATCGAACTCATGCTGCAGTTGCTGTGGAGAGCATCATAGGTTGCATCTTAACCCCTTGCGCCACCAGGAAGGCGCCTGGATTTCTTTCAGTTAACAAAAAAAGTACTAAAGTCAAGCTTTGTAAAGCCAAGTGGCCTATCTCAGACTTGCAAAAACCAGGGAAAGCTGGTCAGGCGAGCTGAAGGAATAGGAGAGACTGAGGCCAAGACACATTCATCTGCCCGGCAGCCCTGAGGCCTCGATTCTGTGTTCATCAGTGGGCTAGACCTGGCTTTGTCCTCCTGGAGATCTTGGGTCAGAGGGGAAATGACAAATCACCAGACACAGTCTGGAGGGGTCAGGGCTGGAGGGGGGTCTGGGCAGTGAAAAGGGAAACACAGACATGACAGGACTCGACACAGAAGCACAGGAAGAACACTGAGGCCGTGACACGGGGCCAGCAGAGTGCTGACTGTGATAAGTGAAACAGAATGATCAGGGCTGAGAGGAGGGAAGCAGGGGCTTCCTGGAGCAAGCCAAGTCTGAGCTGAGATCAGGAGGAGGGAGTCAGGCAGGCCCCGGGAGGGGGGAGTGTTTCAGGTGATGGGAGTAACATGCGCCAGTGCAGAAAACAGAATGGAGGGCTCTGGGCTGGGTGCTGGGGTCAAGTCTGTCCTGAGATGGGACCAAAAGGAGGGACAGGTTTGGGGAGATGTGAGGCCAGTGTGGGCCCTGCTGGGTGGAAGGGACCTGGGAGAAGTGACCAGGGAGCAACATCCGGGAACCCTGAAACAGGACTGTGAAAAGAAAGCACAGGCAGGGGGACCCTGATTTGGGGCTCAAGGTGGAGGCTGAGGCTGGGGCAGATACGCAAGTACAGCCAGCAGGTGGGCGAACCGAGGCTGTGGAGATGGGGAGACTATTCAGGGGGCAGGAGAAAGGGGTATGTAGGGGTTACTTCCAGCTCTGGGCATAACAGTATGAAAGAAGTGCGGGTAGACGTGGGGAGAGCTAGAGGAAGAGGGAAGGACACTGACCTTGGTCTCCAGAGCCCCCTCCTCATCCAGAACCAGGTCACTGTGGTCCGTGTGCACCATAGGGCCCTGGGGTGAAGTGATCAGTGAGAGGGAGTAGTCAGAGAACCTTCCTTCCCTAGGGCCAGACCCCTAGGACCTTCAACTGGGCAGCAGAGGGTCAGGCAGGAGGGCCAAGAGCACCTGGGAGCTGGGGTTCCAGCCTTGGGGCTAGGGACCATGGGACATAGAGAATAATTGGGTCTAGAGAATAATTTCATCTTGGGCATATCGGAACTTGGGGGACATTGAACTTGGGGTCACTGTTGGGACTAGGGCCTTATTTGAGTTTGGGGGTCTGGTTGAGAGGGGAGCACATTTGTGACTGGGCTGCTACTTGAACCTGGAGATGGGGCTGTGGCTGGGGACCCCAGCATCCTACCCGGTCCTCGCCGCTGCCGCTCTCCTCGGGGCACTGAGAACTGGAACCATCGCTGCTGCCTGGGATCCGCACCAGGTTCTTTTGCTTGGAGAAAGAGGCTGAAGCCAGGGACAGGTTGGGGGGTGGGGGTAGGACAGAGGTAAAGATGGGGCAGTGTCACAGTTTGTGGAGATGGAAGAGCAGGAAGAGAGGACCAGACTGGAACACGGAGGGAGGCTGGGAACGCGAGGATGAAGGCCTGGTTGGGTAAGGAGCTAGGGCTCCCTGAGGAACTGGAGCTAGGGCTGAGGGTGAACTCAGGGCCTGAAGGGGAGCCAAACCCTGTGTGGGGTGCAGAAGGGGAGACTGCAGCCAGGTCAGTGGGCAGGATGCCTGTGCGGGACTCGGTACTGACCTCTGCCGTGGTGCCAGCAGCAGAGGGCCACCCCGGTGACGACCATAAGGAGAGTGACGGCTGCAGCAGCCACCCCAGCCACGATCCGTAGAGTTGGCAGCCAGTCTGTGGGGAGAAGAGGGGTGTCCCGAGGGGCCAAGGGAAACGGGAGAGGAACTGCGGACAGAAGTGCAGAACTGGGGGGAATCTCTGGGGTCACAGGCCACTAAGGTTGAGGATTCCCAAGGTTTGTAGTCCCCGGGTTGAAAGGCTCAGAAATTTGGGATTTCACAAGGTCAGACTGCCTGGATTTAGGGGATGTAAGACTTTGAGGTTTTGGTTTTATTTTTCACTTTGCAATCCCCATATTTGAAGGTTCCCTCCTTTGGGGGCTCTAAGTGTGAGGACTCTCACGGCAGGATTCTATATTTGAGGGAATGAATTTGGGTCTCAGGAGTTAAGGAATGCAGTTCTGAGGTCCCCAAAGTTTGGGGGTCTGCATTTGGGGAACCTCAGTTTGGGGATTGCAGCTTTGGGATTTGGAGTTCTCAGATTTGGGGTCTTCTGGCCCAGGGTCCCACCTCTGCGGCCCAGGCTGACGTGGGCACCACGCTCTCCTAGGCGGTTCCGGGCAGTGCAGTTGAAGCCCTGGCTGAAGTCGGACTCCTGTGTTCCCGAAATGTGCAGCACAGACATCAGGCCTGGAACGTGTCCCCCGCTGCCCTCCGGGGCTGGGAATGTCTCCACCAGGAACCGGCCCCGCGACCCCGCCGCCAGGAAGCCCTCATCCCAAGACCAGACCTGAGACAAAGAAGTCATGGAGGAGACTGGGTAGGAAGGGGCAGGGTGGGTGGGGTGTGTGGGGGGAACAGGTGGTCATAGCAGTTTGGGGGACCCACTCACGGCGGCGTGGGCCATGTTAGTGGGGATGTTTCCTTACCACAGCTTCTGGGGTGGGGGAGGCGAAGATGAGACACTGGAGGCGGGCGGGACCCCTCAGGAAGGCGGGCGCAGAGTGGAGGGCAGTCACCACTGGGGGGGCTGGTTGGCACATGGTGGGCAGGTCAGATGACAACCCGGGGTCTCTCCTAAGCCCATTTCAGCTGGGCAGGGCCAGGCCACCCGCTGTCCGCCAGCCCCAGCCAGCCAGGTCCCGCCACACCCCTCAGAGGTCCTCTGGCTGCCACCCCCAGGCCGCTCCGTCTACAAATGTCCCCCTGTCAAGGTCGAGGCCACAGGACCTCGCCCGGCCCTCTGCCCACCCCCTGTGTCATGAACTGCCGCCTCAGGAGAACTTCCTCACCGTTCACTGTCAACCTAGCCTCCGCGGAGCCGCCCCCCAGGCCCGCGGGCCCCGGCTCAGCCCTGCACGAGTAGTCGCCCGCATCCTCCGGCCCCACCGACGGGAGTCGAAGTGTGGGCCCAGAGGCCAGCACCTGGGTTAAGAAAGGGGCGTCAGGGGAGGCCCTTGGGGGAAGCTCCGCCCACCCCGGGCCCCAGATCGCACCTCACCTGCCAGGACCCCCGGCGGGTCCAGGTGACCCGCGGGGACGGGTTCCCGCGCCAGGCGCAGCTGAAGGCCGCGTCTTCCCCCGCGTCCACAGACAAGGGCTGCGGCTTCGCCTGCAGAATCGGCCCGACTGGAGCAGAGAAAGGGGATGCGTCGCTCGGCGGGGAGGGATGCAACAGGTGGCCCCATCTGCGGCTCAGAGGCGCCACGCCCCAGAGCGCCCCAAGCACGGCCCCTCCCCGGGCCACCGCCCCTCGGCTCCCAAGGGGCCACACGCCCCGCCCTCGCCCCGCCCCTGCTCCCCCGGGCTCTGACCCAGCACAGAAAACCCAGCCTCTGGCCAACTCGGGGCCCTCCACCGCCTTCGCAGCCACGCCCCACTCCGGCCTCCCGCCCCCGCCCCGCGGCCCCGCCCGGGCTCACACTGCACGTCCAGCGCGGTGCTGCGGTTGGCGCTCCCCACCGCGTTGCTGACCTCGCAGGACACCGGCTCGGTCAGGAACGAGGCGTCCGCCACGACCTCCAACATTGGCCCTCGGGCTCCGAGCACCGGGGTGCCCCCCTTTGCCCATCTGCGGAGGTAGGGGGGCTGCAGTGCTGACCCTCTCCCCCAGACTCCCCTACTCAGTCCCAAGCCCGGCCCTCCCCAAGCTGAGCTGGGGGCTGGGAAGGATGACCTTGGTCCTCACCTGTAGCCGGTGACTGGAGGCTGCGCTGTGGCCTGGCACCGGAAGGTCACCTTCCCGCCCTCCTGCACCGTCTGCGGGTCTGCGGCCAGCGTCACCACGGGGGGGTCTGTGGAGGTGGGCCAGCGGTCAGCGCGCGCAAGGACCCGAAACCACTGATGACCTAGGGGGCCAGCTCCCTGCCCTCACCCCAGCATCCAGGGCCCCTGTCCTCTCTTCCCTTTGAGCCAGGAGTCCTGGCCTGTAGCTCCCAGCTCCTCCAGGGCTACAGCCCCCTTCTTTCTCATACCCCGGGGTTCCTCTCTCTCGGAGGACCTCAGGTCCAGGCCCCAACGCGCCTCTGCACTCACACTGCAGGCTCAGCGTGACCACTGTGTCCCTGCCCGCCGGCAGCGCCTGGCTCCGGGCCCGGCACACCAAGGTGGCTCCATCGTCGTGGCTGGAAGGGGTCAAGGATAGGACGCTCTCCACGGACCCAGTGGCCACTTCCCTCAGCAGGGTCTGGAGGTGATGAAGGATGATAGTGATGATGAGGATGATGATGGTTTCATCTACAGCTTATATAGTGCTTCCTACCTGGTAGGCACTCTTCTAGGTGTTTATAGACATTGCTTCATGTAATCCTCACAATTACCCTATGAGGTGCGTACTGCTACCCTCCCCCCCATTGTAATGGCACGGGATGGACAGATTAAGTCACTTAATCAAGCTCAATCAACTAGCGAGTGGCTGAGCCAGGATTCGAACCCAGGTAGCCCAACCCTAGAGTCCTTATCCCTAATCACATGGCGAGGGTCCCAATTCTCGAACCCCTGCCCTCCCGCGCCCTTCCTTCCTCTGGAAGACACTGAATGTCCTCAGGTGGACGCTGCATGTCACTGAATGTCACTGAATGCGCGAGGACCTCACCTGGTGGAAGGTTGCCCCATCCAGCCGGACCCCATCTCGGAACCACAGCAGCTCGGGGGTGGGGTGAGCATTCCCACGGCTCCGACAGGTCAGATTTGCAGGCATCCCAGCAACCAGAGACACAGAGGGGCCACCCAGGACCTGGGGGGGTTCTGGGGGCACTGCGAGAGTGGATTCGGGGGTCAGAGCTGGATCCAGGGCCCAAAGACCCTGGTCTTCCCAGCTCTAACCAAGCATTCCTCTGGGTTCCTTGGACTCTGGTACTCCCAGCTGGCACCAGCTGCCCCCAGGGGCCCCCAGGGGCAAGGACTGGGCTCTCACCCAGCACGTGCAGCCGGGCTGGTCTGGAGCGGAGGCCTGCTTGCGTGGCCTGACATTCGTAGGATGCTTGGTCCTCTAGCTCCACGGGCCTGATGTGGAGGTCGTGCTGGCCACTGGCTGTGCTCCCTGCTATCCAGTACCGGGACCACCCTGCAGCAGGGAAGAGGCAGTCATACCGTGGCTCCGGGTTCCTGGCCCCAGGGCCTTCACCCCATACATCCCACACCAGAGAGATGCCACCAAAAGTGGATGTGGGCCAGAGACTTTAATTTACCCCAATCCACAGTCACTGCAAACTTGGAGTGATAAAATTTAAAAAACAAAGCAAGAAAATAATCGCCATAAAAGTCAGAGTAGACGCTACTTCTGAGGAGGAGATGACTGATAGGGAAGGGAATAAAGGGGGTTTCTGAGGCCCTGGCAAGTAAACTGGGAAGACACCTAAGGGTGTCTACTTTATAATTACATGGCAAACCTTCCATTTGTTTTATCTGCTTTTTTGATTTATGCAATATTTACAACACAAATTTAAATGTCCAGGCCAAAGAGGAAGCTAAAAAATCAGGACCCTCAAATATTTGCCTGAGCCCATCCATATGTCAAACTTGAACAGGTCAAAGTAGAAACTTTAGCTATAGTTCCAGCCCAGCACCCTCACCCTGCAGCCAGACTCCCCAGGAGGGAGAGCAGCCTCACCTGGCAGATCCCGCTCACCCCCAAGAGCCAGCCCATCCTTAGTCCACTGGACCAGCCCCCAGTATGCCCCCAGGGCACAGGGCAGCCGCGCCTCATCCCCCAGCAGTACCACCTGGTCCTCCGGTTGTTGCAGGAAGTGGGGTGACCCTAGGAAAATGGGGGGCAACAGACCCGAACTTAGCACATTCAGGAACCAGGGGTCCAGGCCCCAACCTCCTCTTGCCTCAGACCCAGATGCCCAGCCACACCCCATCCCCCCGCAGAATTCTCCTTCCTTAGATCCAGGAGTCTGAACCCCCCAGCCCCATCCACCCTAGTAAAACCACCCCTCATATTCATCTGCTTCCCCCCAAAACCCAGGTACCTGCTTGCCCTCTGAGGCAGAAGAGGAGGACCAGAAGGGTGCAGACCAGCATCTTGAGCGCGTGTCCCCCAAGATCCAGCGGACTTGCGGTTGCACCGGCTTCCCTGCCAACTCCTTCCTTCAAGACAGGGCACCTCCCACCGCGTCGCCCCCCGACTTCCAGACCCCGCCGTCTCTGGGCTGCAGTTCCCCGAGTGTGCTCCGCCGCAGGCTCGGACGCTCTGAAACGCCGGGCAGTTCCGCGCGCTGGGGGCGCGAGACCCCAGGAGAGGCCGGTCGCGCTCACCCCGCCCCGGCGCGCCCCGGGGGCCCCGCCCCCTTCCATTGAGAAAGTCCCGCGGCCGCCGCGCCGCTGAATGGGGCCCCGCCGCGCCGGCTGCCCCCGCGGGCGCGCGCCGGGGCGCGCCGGGGGCCTGGGAGCCGGAACACCTGGGCCGACAGAGGGGGTCCCGGCTGCGCCGGACACCTGCACGCTCCGAGATTGGGGGGAGACGAGGGAGGAGCGGAGGCGGGAGGGGGCCGAGTGGAAGAAACTTGCTCAGCGCGCGCCCCGCGGGGACCGCGCCGAGTGGAAACGGAGCTATAAATGGGAGCCTCTGGGGCCGCGCTCGTTTCCGCGCCCTGGGGAGGCGGGGCGCGGGGCTCCCCGGGGGCTGTGGGTCAGGGAGAGGGCGCCCGGGTGCCGGGGAGGCAGCGGGACGCCGGGTAGGGGAAGGAGCTTCATCTCCAGACGCCTCGAAAGCGTTTCTCCAAACAGCGCTGCCTCCCCGGCGCGGCGCGGGCTGCGCGCCCGAGATCCCGGCGCCCGGCCCGGCCCCGCCTTTCCCGGGCCCAGCCCGCAGGGCCGGCCCCTCGCCCCCTCGCCCCCTCGCCCCCTCGGCGGTTGCCCGGCGACGGCGGGGGGCGGCGCGCGGCCGGCGGGAGGGGCTGGGAACCGCGCAGCTGGGCCCGACGCCGGCTGCCGCCCAGCTGCGGCGTTCCCACGCTGCGGGCCCGGGGGGCGCCGCGCCGCTCGCGGGCAGGTGGGCGCGGGCCGGGGCCCTGGGTCTGACCCTCCTCAACCTGCAGGGTCGCGGGCTCCACATTCAGGTTCTCCGTGGGTCCTGAGCGCAGGTTCTTTTTTATCACTAGTGCCGGGGCTTGGAGTCCCGGGAGTCTAAGATGGGGGTTCAGACCTTTTTTTAAAAGATTTTTTAAAAAAATTATTTATACAACAGCACAACAGCTGGCCAGAGGCGCGGGAGGGTGAGAGGATTCACCGGAGACAGAGTGGGGAGCAGAAGAGGCAGATGGACCGAAAGCACTGCTGAGGGGAGCAGAGGGTGAGACAGGAGAGGTCTGCCGCGCCATGTGGGTAGCTCCCTGGAGCCGCCGGAAATCGAACCCGCGCTGCAGAGGCTGCGGACAGCTTCACAGCGCTGCGCTCAACTCGCTGTGCCACTGCGGAGGCTCTGGAGGTTCAGACCTTTGTTGATTGAGAAGTTCCTGAGAAACTGGGCACATCATTCCCTTGCCTGCGGCACTGCGCAGTTGGGAGAGCATGACAGGGGGTCAGGAAATCTCATCTTGGTTCTTCCAGTCAGTGGGTTGAAACGACCTCTCACACCCCACACAAGCCCAGGAGGATTTGAAAATCACCAGACAGTGAAATCTGCCCTGAGTCCTGTGGGGGTGAGGGGGAAGGCTGAGAAGCCTGATCTCTGGGATCCTTGAGGAGAGAAGGCTGAAGCCTGGACCCCGGCGGCTTCAAGGGGTAGGTCCTGAGGGCTCCGATGTCTAGGTCCTGACTTCTGTTTTGGGGACCCAGGCCTTGGATTTTGAAACTGGGAGAGCTTGGGGCCAGGCCTCCTGTGTCTTGGGAAAGAAGTCAGGAAGTGAGGCTGTTTTTCCAGACACCTGCTCTGGTTCCCCATCTTAACTCTCTGGGGCCACAGGCATGGAAAGATGGAGAGCCTGGGGTCCCAGGAGCCTCCAAAAGGAAAACAGCTAAGGTGGAGGGGGAAGGCTTGTGCTAATTAAAGGTCCCAGAGATTGACAGCTCTACACCCTGGCCCAGAGGGACACCATCTGGTGAGGCCTCTGGCCCGTTCCCCAGGAGGAGTGGGGGCAGGTGGGGGCGTTGGGAGAGTGGGGTGTGGGGGTGGAGGGCAGGAGTCTGTAATGGGAGGGACAGAGAAAGACCAAAGGGAGCATCAGGATTGGAGCTGAGGGAGTGCAGCCCAGATGCTCCATCTTGTCGCTGGAGGAGGCCCGGATGGGGGCCACGGTGGGGAGGGGGGTGAGAATGAGCAGTTCCAGTCCCTGCAGGAGATGAGCAGGCAGAAGCAGCTTACCCCTCGCGAGTGTGTGTACACTGGGGACAGTGGGGGTGGCACCCAACCAGCATATGGTCATGGAATCCAAGGGTGTGACAGTCAGAGGGGCCCAGAGATGGGGAAACAAATAAGAGCAAGAGGCTCAGAGGAAGGTTGGCTGAAAACAAATGGAGTCCCTGGTGTATGTAAGAGACAGAATATGGGGGGGGGGGCGGGTAGAGGTGAGGACAGAGACAGAAATAGAAAAACAGAGACATGTAGGGGCAGAGAGAGGGGGAGAGAGAGAGAGATGATTGCAATGTAACTATCTACTGGAGAGAAAAGAGGTAGAGAGAGACTCAGACACAAGAACTGGGAAACAGGCCAGAAGTATGTGTGGGGGGCGGTTTGAGAGGATTCACCGGAGACAGAATGGGGAGCAGAACAGGCAGACGGACTGAAGTACACCGCTGAGGGGAGTAGCAGGTGAGACAGGAGAGGCCTGCTGCGCCATGTGGGTAGCTCCCTGACCGGGATTCGAACTCGTGCTGCAGAGGCTGCGAACAGCCTCATAGGTCGCGTCTTAACCCCTTGAGCCACCAGGGAGGCCCCAAATAAATAAAACTTTAAAAAAAAAAATAGTGGAGATGGAGTGAGGGAGTGAGACAGACACGGGAAAGGAAAGACGGGCCAAGGCGGCAGAGGAGGCGCGGAGCTGGAGTTCACATGGTCCCTGCACGAGTTGTCCCCATGCCAGGCTCGTGCCAACGCACACACCAGCTGCGGATGGTGTTGGGCCCTGCCTTTCCCTGCCGTCCACTCTGCCCCGTGCACACTTACACCCTGGCCCCTCTTACACACTCACACGCTCTGCACACGCCCACAGACCAAACGCACACTCATTTTCCCCGTTCACACATGTGCTCACACACTCCCATGTGCTCACATGTGCACACATGCGTGCCAGCTCTCTCCCCTGCACTCCTCCAGCCTCTCACACTCTTGCACACTCCCCGCAGGGACCCCTGGCATCACGGAAACGGGTGATGTCTGGTCGGGGAAGGAAGGTTCTTGCCAAAATCATGTCCCAGGGCAGGAAGAATCAGGCTGAGCTGGGAAGGCTGGAGTCTGACCCAAGGCAAATCTTTGGGGTCACAGGGGCTGGGGAGGCACCAAGGAATGCGCCTGGTATGTGCTGACAGGGGGTTTTATGTTCCAGCTGGGCCGGGAGGAGCCTGCAGGGTGAGGTCTGGAGCTGCAGCCACAGGAGAACCTCTGGGGAGTGTGATGCTGAAGGGGACTGAGCGAAGGGCACAGGCCTGCCCTGCCACAGACCACACTAGCCTCATCACTCTCCTGGGCTCCTGGGCCCCCAGACCTGGCACAACAGGGCCTCCTGAGGGGGCTGAGTGGTGAAAGAAGGAAAGCAGTGGGGTGGGTGTGACTGGAGAGAGGGAAGAGAAACAGAGGCTGTAAGGGAGAGACTCAGAGAGTGCCTGAGACCAGAGAGGTAAAGACTGATGAAGGGAGGGGTTGGGGTGCCCTAGACTAGGGAGATAGAGGTGGGGGCCAGGCGCTGTGGAAAGGGAAAACAGGAAGAGCAGGAGACAGGTGGAAAGAGAGACAAAGAAAAGAGAGGCACGTAGGAGAGGGGCCCAGAGAGAGGCAGACGCAGGGGCAGGCAGTGGGTGCTCTGGGACCACAGGCAGAGGCCCGGATGGCCCTAGGAACCCCCGTCACGGCGCCCCTGGTCTTCGTGGGGCTGCTGACCGCAGGTGAGTGAGATCCTGGGCTGGGACTCAGCTGCAAGAGGCCACTGTTTCCCACTGGAGAGACAGACCCTGCCTTCTGCTCACCCACCTGTGTCCCCAGGCCTGGCCCAGTCACCCAGCCCTGCTTTGGCCCCCAGAGGCTTCTGGGGTCTGCCTGAAAACATGACGGTGGTGGAGGGGGCCGCTGCCACATTGCGGTGTGGGGTCCGCGCCCCAGGCAGTGTGGTGCAATGGGCCAAAGATGGGCTCCTCCTGGGCCCCGATCCTAGGATCCCAAGCTTCCCGAGATACCGCCTAGAAGGGGACCCTGCTAAAGGTAAGGGGTGAGGGCCTCCCGGGTGGCACAGCGGTTGAGCGCTGGGCTGTGAAGCTGCCCCACAGCCTCTGCAGTGCTTGTTCGATCCCCAGCCGCTGGCGAGGGTCCCACATGGCGCGCAGACCTCTCCTGCCGCCCGCTGCTCCCCTCAGCAGTGTACTTCGGTCCTTCTGCCTGCTCTGCTCCCCGCTCTGGCTCTGGTGAATTCTCTCACCCTCCTGCTCTTCTGACTGTACTCAGTGCTTGTATAAATAAATAAAATACTAAATAAATAAATAAATAAATAAATAAAGGTAAGGGGGGAGACCCCAGACCCGCGGCACCAGCAGAGACCTGCGGCCCTGACTCGCCCTGCCTGCAGGTGAGTTCCACCTGCGCATTGAAGCGTGTGACCTCAGCGACGATGCCGAGTACGAGTGCCAGGTCGGCCGTTCTGAGACAGGCCCCGAGCTCGTGTCTCCCAGAGTGCTCCTCTCCGTCCTGGGTAAGGGAGAGGCGCCCCCAGGGCCTGGGTGTCTGGGTTTCCAGCTCCCCCTACTCCGGGTCCCCAGCTTTCCAGCCCCAGGGTGCACACTCACTTCTTCAGCAATGAGACTCAAAGCTCAGATCCTCATTCCTTCCCAGCCCTGGTGCCTCAGCCCAGTCTCTTTCTCAACAGTGCCCCCCAAGGTGCTTCAGCTGACCCCCGAGGCTGGGAGCACCGTCACCTGGGTGGCCGGACAGGAGTACGAAGTCAGCTGTGTGTCCGGGGATGCCAAGCCAGCACCGGACATCATCTTTCTCCAGAGTGAGTGGGGGTGAGTGGGTGGGGGCAGTGTGATGCCCCCAGAATGGGGTGGGCGTATGTCCTTCCCATTGTCCACCTAGGGGCCCCCCAAATATGACAGTCCTGAGAAGGGGACACAGGAGCAGGCCTGGGGAGACGCTGAGGCCGTGGGCACCGTGCACGGGAGGGGACACCCAGCAGTTTGCAGGGCTCCTGGACTGGGCCCCAGGGAAGAGGCTAAGGCTGCAGCAGATTTGGGTGCCAGCACTGGTGCAGAAATGAGGAACTGAGGTGATGGGGTGACTGGTACAACTAGCAAAGATGTGAGGGGAGGGTGGAGGCGGGGAGAACCTCCCTCAGCCCTGAGAACTCTGTTTGTGGGGAGGCGTGACTGTGTGGAGGGAGCAGAGTTGGCACACAGTGGGGGAGGGAGCAGCATGTCCAGGCCATGGTCCCAGGATCTTCCTTGAGGGGAACCCAGCAACTCTCCGGTCCTGCTGTTACCCCAAGGTGGACAAGAAGTTTCTGACATTTCTACTAATGTGAATGAGGGGTCCCAGGAGAAACTCTTCACCACAGAGGCCACAGCCAGGTATGGAAGTTGGGCCCTCCCCACCCCCAGTCTGACCCCCCCATTTCTCCATGAAAACCCCATATCCCAGGGAAATGGACACTTGGGTCCAGGTAGGAATATCTGGGACCACATTGTTCACCTGACACTCCAAGAATACTTAGAAAGCCCAGTTCCACCAAGAATTTGGCCAGATGGTGACCCGTGCGACCCCAGTTATCACTAGTGACCCCCCAGATCTCTTCCTTGGAACTCCAGATTCTAGAAGAGATCATTATGGAGATTCAGACCAGGTGTGGGGACTGGGATTCCCCACCTCTTCACCCTGACTCCCCAAATTTCAGATGATGACTCTGACTCCAGAACCCCAACTTCTCACCCCAGGGTGACACCCCAGAGCTCGGATAATGGGCAGTTACTGATCTGTGAGGGGTCCAGCCCCGCTCTGGACAGCCCCATCCAGGTCTCACTCACCATGAATATTCTGTGTAAGTGGGGAGCTGAATCAGCTGTGGGCGCTGGGGATGGGGAGCAGAAGTTGGGGGCTCTGGAAGAGTGTGGGGATTAATGGAAAATTCAAGACTCAGTGAAAAGCTTGGGGGTTCAGAGGCAGATTGTGGGGCATGGAAAGAATGGATGAACCCCCATGAATGACAGCCGCTCCTCAGTCCCCCCAGGCCCTCCTGTCATCGAGTGGCCAGGCCTGGATGAGGGGCATGTGCGGGCAGGGCAGAGCCTGGAGCTCCTGTGCACGGCCCGAGGTGGGAACCCGCCAGCCACACTGCAGTGGCTGAAGGTAAGAGCAGAAGCCACCTTGGGCGGGGGCAGAGGTGGCCGGGAGCTGACTGAGCTGGTCCCCACCTCTAGAATGGCCAGCCAGTGTCCACAGCATGGGGCACGGAGCACGCTCAGGCCGTGGCCCGCAGCCTGCTGGTGATGGTGGTGCGGCCGGAAGACCATGGGGTGAGGCTCAGCTGTGAGGCCCATAACAGCGTGTCTACAGCGGCCCAGGAGCGCGGGGTCACACTGCAGGTCACCTGTGAGTCTGGGTGCCAGATGCCCATGTATCAGCCTGAGGCCCAGATAACCACCTGCTGGTGCCCCAGCTCATGCCTATCTGACGCCAAGACCTTGTCTGTGCTCAGTCCCTGCTCCGTCTGGACTGGTCTGGGAGGCCTGCTGCCCAGCTGTGTCTCTCCTCTGTCCCCCCATCCCTGTAGTTCCCCCCAGCGCCATTACCATCCTGGGGTCCCCATCCCAGTCCGAGAACAAGAACGTGACGCTGTCCTGCATCACCAAGTCCAGCCGCCCACGGGCCCTGCTGCGGTGGTGGCTGGGCCCGCGGCCGCTGCTGCCCACGGAGGAGACGGTCATGGAGGCAAGGCGGGGCCCAGGCTGGGGTCTGAGGGCAGGGAGAGCTGGGGGCCTGACTGCTGAGTCTGGGAAAGGAGCTGCTTGGCAGCCTTGGTCCTTGGGGGGCATGTACTAGGCCCCCGACTCTTGGGTCTGACAGAAGAGGGGCTGGAGATGATTCCGGTGTCCCTTCTGGAGTCCGGGTCCCTGGTGCCAAGGATGGGGGTGCCCTATCCCCAGCTCTGAAGCCCCCTCTCTGCCAGGGCCTGCATGGGGGCCACATCTCCATGTCCAACCTGACGTTCCTGGCACGACGTGAGGACAACGGTCTGATGCTCACGTGCGAGGCCTTCAGTGAGGCCTTCACCAAGGAGACCTTCAAGAAGTCACTCACCCTGAACGTGAAATGTGAGCCCCCACCTCATCAGGGGGCTCCCGGGCCCTAGAGACCCCATCTTCAGGCCCCAACAGAGACAGAGCCATTTCTGTGGGTTCTTCCCACAGATCCTGCCCAGAAGCTGTGGATCGAGGGGTCCCCGGAGGGGCAGCAGATCCGGGCTGGGACCCGGGTGAGGCTGGTGTGTTTGGCCATCGGAGGCAACCCGGACCCCTCCCTCACCTGGTACAAGGTTGGTGCCCAGCAAGAGCTGTGTCAGCCTAAGGGCTCTCCTCTGTGCCCCCAGCACTGTTACCATCCTGGAGCCTTCCCCTGTGGGGGTGGGAAGGAAGGCATTTCTCCAGAGTCTTGGGAAATCATCTAGAAATCTGAATTTCTTTTTTTTTTTTTAAGATTTATTTATTTATGTATACAGGAACTGGGGTGTAGGCCAGAGGTGCAGGGGGTGAGAGGATTCACCAGAGACAGAGTGGGGAACAGAACAGGCAGACTGACTGAAATACACTGCTGAGCGGAGCAGCGGGTGCGACAGGAGAGGTCTGCTGTGCCATGTGGGTAGCTCCCTGGCCGGGGATTGAACTTGTGCTGTAGTGGCTGCAGACAGCCACATAGGTTGCGTCTTAACCCCTTGTGCCACTAGGGAGGCCCAAATCTGAATTTATTGACAAGTACTGGAGATTTTGAGTTTGGGCAGGGAATTGGAAACAACATAAATGCCAGGAAAATTAAATGGAATTCTAGGAAAATTCTGGAAATTCCGAATAAACCTGAGAGTTCTAGAGTAAGAAATTCTGGGTGGGGATTTGGAATCATAAAGAAAAGTCTATTAATTTCACAGAATGAAAGGAAATTCTAGTGAAATCTCAGAATGCAGGTGAAATGGCAAACATTTTAGGAAATGACTAAATTTCAGGAACAAAGAATGAGAGTCTGGGCGAGGGCTAGAAATTTTGGAGAAAGGTTAGCATTTGAAAAATCATTAATGTTTGAAAATTTGAACAATTTGAAAATCATTTTAACATTTGAAAATCATTAATATTAAATCGGACTCTTGGGTCTTGGGAATAAGAGAATAAAATTCCATTTACATTTAAAGAAATTCTGACAGAATTCTGGGAAAATCCTGGGGCACTAAGGAGCTAAGAGGCAAAGACTAGAAATTATAGGAATGACATTGGAATTTCATTTAGTTGGCTAGAATTTTAGGGAACTGCCAAGAATTTGAACCATACCGAGCATTAGTGTAAAAAACTAGGATAATAACGGAATATTAGGGAAGGATCCAGAAATCTGTGGAAAAACAACTGGATATAGACAAAGGTCAAAGAAAATTTGAGGTAAGTGAAAATTTTAAGAAAAAGAATTAAGGCTAGGGCCTCCCTGGTGGCTCAAGGGGTTAAGCACCTCGCTATGAAGCAATCCACAGCCTCTGCAGCACAAGTTCGATCCCCGGCCGGCCAGGGAGCTACCCACATGGCGAGCAGACCTCTCTTGCCTCGCCCGCTGCTCCCCTCAGCAGTGTATTTCAGTCAGTCTGCCTGTTCTGTTCCCCGCTCTGTCTCTAGTGAATCCTCTCATTCCCCACATCTCTGGCCTGTACCCCATCTTGTATGCATAAATAAATAAATCTTTAAAAAAAAAAAAAGAGCCTGGGGGAAAAGGCTGGGGGGAAAAGGCTGGGGGGAAAATGAAGAAATTCTGGGAAAAGTAGGGGAATTCCAAAGGGGTTTTTTTCTGGCCTATGATGTTGGTAAATGCAGCAGGAATGATTTTTGAGGCTGATTTTTGAGGTGCCTGGCAGAGGGTAGGCAGGAAACCCTGACAGTTGCAGGTCTCCAGAGAGCAAGACCCACCGACTCAGGGGGCCCCAACTCAGGGGGCCCAGGGTGAAGAGATGCAGGGTGTGTGTGTGTGTGTGTTGCTCAATTCTAGGCCCTGTGCTTTACCCTAGTCACGTGCTCACGAAAGCGGGCTCCTTTTCCTCATCACACAGCCAGATGTGGGCAACCTCAGGGCTGGGTGGGGGACGGCAGGGCTACCGCGGTCCCCCAGTCAGACTCGGCCCGCAGGACTCGCGCACGGTGTCCGAACCGCGGCAGCCCCAGGAGCCGCGACGGGTGCAGCTGGGCAGCCTGGAGAAATCGGGGAGCACCTTCTCCCGCGAGCTGGTGCTGATCACGGGCCCGTCGGACAACCTGGCCAAGTTCACGTGCAAGGCCGGCCAGCTCAGCGCATCCACGCAGCTGGTGGTGCAATGTGAGCGCGGGCATGGCCAGGCCGCAGGGCGGGCTGGAGATCTGGGTGGGGGCACAGGGGAGACCTCAGGGCCAGGATGCCCTCGGGCTCACCGGGCTTTGGGGGGGTCAGGGAGCGAGACCTGGTGGAAGCAGGGGGGGCCTCCTCATCTCTGAGATCCACACGTTCATTTCCAAGTCCCCCCGACCAACTTGACCATCCTGGCCAATGCGTCCGAGCTCCGCCCCGGGGACGCCTTGAACTTGACTTGCGTCAGCATCAGCAGTAACCCTCCCGTCAATCTGTCTTGGGACAAGGAGGGGGAGAGGTAAGAGTGTTAGGGCCCCCGCATCCTGGCCGCCCCCCCACCCCCAGTCCTGACCTGACCACCCCACCCCCTGCCCCCTCTGCAGGCTGGAAGATGTGGCCACCGCCCGGCCCCGGACTGCCCCGTTCAAAGGCTCATCTGCCGCCAGGACAGTCCTTCTGAGACTGACATCCCGTGACCACGGCCACGGTGTGACCTGCAGGGCCCACAGCGCCACGCTCAGGGAGACCGTGAGCGCCTTCTACCGCCTCAACGTTCTGTGTATGTTTCCTGGCCTGGGGCCTCTCTCAAGTCCCTAGTCCCTAAGCTACTGGGCCTTCAAGTCTTTCCCCTCCATCCTGAATCTTAGCCCCTGTCTGGCCCTTATCCTCATCCCTGCTCCTGCTCAGCCCCCATCGCGCATTTGTCCTCCACCTGAGCCCTTGACCCTATCCTGATCCCTCTGTCCACCCTTAATCCAGACCGTGGCCCTACTCTTTTTTTTTTTTTAATTTATTTAGTTATGCATAAAAGAGCTGGGGTATAGGCCAGAGGTGCGGGGGGTGGGGGTTGTCAGGGGGTGAGAGGATTCATCAGAGACAGAGTGGGGAGCAGAACAGGCAGACTGACTGAAATACACTGCTGAGGGGAGCAGCGGGCGAGACAGGAGAGGTCTGCTGCACCATGTGGGTAGCTCCCTGGCCAGGGATTGAACTCGTGCTGCAGTGGCTGCCAAGTGCCACCAGGGGGCCTCCCTGGTGGCGCAAGGGGTTAGGACACAGTCTGTGAAGGAATCCACAGCCACTACAGCACAAGTTAGATCCCCAGCCAGAGAGCTACCCACATGGGGCAGCAGACCTCTCCTGTCTCGCCCGCTGCTCCCCTCAGCAGTGTATTTTGGTCTATCTGCCTGTTCTGCTCTCCACTCTGTCTCTGGTGAATCCTCTCATACCCCACATCTCTGGCCTGTACCCCAGCTCTTGTATGCATAAATAAATGAGCCTTTTTCAAAAATGCCACCAGGGAGGCCCATGGCCTCTACTCTTAAGGCAACTTAACTGTTACCTTGTCCACGACCTTAAATCTAGTAGCGACCCCTACTTTAAACCTATACCTGATCTTAAATTCATCTCGGATCCCCCAACTTTAACAACAACTTTGACTCCCGGGGGCACCCCTCATGTAGACCCTCCAGAGTTTCTGGGGGAGCAGGTGCTTGTGGTGACCGCGGTGGAACAAGGCGAGGCCCTGCTGCCGGTGTCCGTGTCTGCCAACCCCACCCCCGAGGCCTTCAACTGGACCTTCCGCGGTTACCGACTCAGCCCAGGTGCGCGGAGCCAGCCTGAGAGCGGGGCGGGTCTCGGGGACCGGAGGGCCTGGCGGGCGCCTGACCCTGACCTCCCGCAGCTGGCGGCCCCCGGCACCGCATCCTGTCTGGGGGAGCTCTGCAGCTGTGGAACGTGACCCGCGCAGATGGTGGCCTCTACCAGCTCCACTGCCAGAACTCGGAGGGCACTGCGGAGGCGCTCGTGCGGCTGGATGTGCACTGTAAGCGCCCTCCTCACCTTCGAAAATTAGGGCACTCTGGAGCCCTGTCCACCAAGGGACCCCCCCCAGCCAAGAAACTCTGCCCTCTGTTGAGTCTCCTCCTGGTGTAAGCTCTGCCCACCTAGGGACAGTCACCCCTGCTGGAAACGCCCCCACCAAGTGCTAGTCAGGCCCATGGTGGGACACCCACTTCCTGTGTGGAATCTCTGCCAGGCAGGACCCACTAACAGGGACATCAAGCCCACCATGAAAGCCGAGGCTGGGTAGAGGGTGGGAGAACCCCGCTAACCCAAGAGCGCCTCTACCAGGATGGTCTTCGCTCACTTCTGTAACTGTCCTGGGTGCCTTTTAGACACTGTCCCACCCCAGGCCCTCTCCCGCCATGGCCTGCCTAGGCCAGTGCCTTCCCCAAGCCCCTACCTCCCCCAGATGCTCCCATCATCCGGACTCTCCAGGACCCCACAGAGGTGAATGTTGGGGGCTCTGTGGACATAGTCTGCACTGTGGATGCCAATCCTGTCCTTCCAGAGATGTTCAGCTGGGAGAGGCTGGTGAGAATTCAACCTTTGGTAAATGGAGGTAGGGCTGGGGTTTGTGGTTCTTACTAGGGACTGTGAGCTGCTTGGGAGGAGGGGCTCCCCTCTATGTGATGCTGCACAGCTGCACACTCGTCAGGGCAGATCCAAGAACTTGCTGCTGATGACACGTGAGTGGGTACATAAGTGGATAGATCCCCAGGTGAGCAGGCAAGTGGATGGGTATGGATGGGTAGATGAACATGTGGATAGATGTGTGAGTGAATGGAAGGGCAGATGGATGAACAAGCAAATGAATGGATGAATGCATGGAAGGGTGGCTAGATGACTGAATGAGAGAAATGGGTAGATAAGTGGATTAGATTAGAGGGTAGATGGATGACTAGATACACCCTCAGTAGAAAGACAATGGATGGATGGATGGATGATGGGGGGTTAGTTCTGTGAAGACAGATGGTAGCTGGAAGACTAAGGCTGTAGGTGGGACTCATTCTGGGGGATGATGGAGTGGATGGATGGATGGTCAGTGGAGAAATAGACAGATAGATGAGTTGATGAATAGATGTATGTGTTTATGGGGGTATTTTTGAAGTGGTTGGGTAGATAGGTGGACGGGTGGATATATGAGTTAATAAAAGGAAGACAGATGTTGGAATGAATGTGAATAAATGGACGGAGAAGTGGATGGATGGATGGTTAGGTGAATGGATAAATAGATGTGTGCCTTGATGGATACATGGTTCTAAGCATGAATAACTGGATCAACAGATGAGTGAGCGGTTGGCTAGACTGATGGATGAATAGATGGGCCTGTTCGAGACTGATTGGATACATGGATGGATGGATGGATGGGTGGATGGATGGATGGATGGGTGATGGGGGGTTAAATCTGGGAAGGCTGATTGTGGCTGGAAAACTGAAGCTGCCAGTGGGACTCATTCTGGGGGACAATGGAGCTGGGTCCAGTCTGAGAAACCAACTACTGTGTTTTGGGCCCCCAGGGAGAAGAGGAGGAAGACCAGAACTTTGATGATGCAGAAAAAGTGTCAAAGGGATCCACTGGGCGTCTGCGATTCCGCCATGCCAAGCTAGAGCAGGCTGGTGCCTACCAGTGCATCGTGGACAATGGAGTGGCACCTCCAGCCCGAGGCCTTGTCCGTCTTGTTGTCAGATGTGAGTAACACCCAACTGCTACCACTAAACCCTCATCTCTCATGTTCATCCACATACCTCACATCGACTCTCAACCCCTCCTAGTTGCCCCCCAGGTAGAGCACCCCACTCCCCTAACTAAGGTGGCTGCAGCTGGAGATAGTACCAGTTCTGCCACCCTCCACTGTCGTGCCCGAGGTGTCCCCAACATTGTCTTCACTTGGACCAAAAACGGGGTTCCTCTGGATCTCCAGGATCCCAGGTGAGCCCAGGCGCAGCCAGGCAGCACTCCAGCCCCTGCTCCGGTCCCCCAGCTCTGGTTTCCCTCCCTGAGCCCCTGCCGCCCCTCCTCTCCAGGTACACGGAACACACGTACCACCAGGGGGTCGTCCACAGCAGTCTCCTGACCATTGCCAATGTGTCTGCAGCCCAGGACTACGCCCTCTTCACGTGCACGGCCACCAACCCCCTCGGTTCAGACCACACCAATATTCAACTCGTCAGCATCAGTATGATGGGAGGGGGCTGAAGTGGGCACGGAGGGGGTGGGGGTGCCCCTGCATCAATCCCCAAGTCTCTTGGTGTTCCCAGACTGACAGTGTTACTGAAACCTGAGAAATGTTTATAAGTGAGGTTGGAGTTTTTGTCTGTCCCAAAAATCCTAATGGGGACTGAAGCTTCTGGAAACCCACAACAAAGAGGGGGATTTTTTAGTCCAAGTAACTAAAAATTACTTTCAGGAGTTGCTGGGTCCAGGTTCAGCTTTCAAGAACTCTCCATCCCCCGGGTCTGCTTTTCTGTGTTGGGTTTTTTTTTTTTTTTTTTTTAAGATTTATTTATTTATTCATACAAGCACTGGGTACAGTCAGAAGCACGGGAGGGTGAGAGAATTCACCAGAGCCAGAGCGGGGAGCAGAACAGGCAGACTGACGAAATACATTGCTGAGGGGAGCAGCGGGTGAGACAGGAAAGGTCTGTCGTGCCATGTGGGACCCTCTCCGGCGGCCAGGAATCGAACCCGCCCTGCAGAGGCTGCGGGCAGCTTCACAGGCCAGCATTCAACCATTGTGCCACCAGGGGAGGCCCTCTGTGTTGGTTTTATACTATGACTTTTCATAGCTGCTGTTAGATTTTCTTGGGGAAGTAAAGACTTCTTTGCCTTCCTTACAGTGGTATGAAAGTTCTAGAATTAGGATGCATTGACGCTGCTTGGCTCCCTGCCAAGATTCCCCCAGTCAGGGGAAGGCGATATTCTTCTTGGCCAGGCCTGGGCACATGTCTGTCCTACTAGGAGTGAGGTCACTTCCGTCACAATCACATGGCCTGAGAATGTGGGCAAGTGGTTCTCCAAAGGATAATCAGGGTTCTGCAACCAGAGAGATGAGGGTGTGAGATAGGCACCCTCAAAAATCCACTACAGGCAACATATATATTCTAGTCAGTCTTCATGATTTGGACGGTCTGTATTTGCAAATTGGCTTTAATTGTTAAAATGTATTTGTAGCCCCCAAATCAATATTCATGGTGCTTTTTCACTCATTCAGGGACATGTACAGTGTGGATGATAAATTCAAGTCGCTCAATGAGCTTCTTCTCAGATGAGATAGAGTCAGTGTTTCAGCTGGTGCGCTGTAACCAGGGGTCTTTTCTGCATGCTATTTAGCTCCACCTTTTTTGTACTTTTGTGTTTTTTTGTTAGTGATCTTGTTATTTAAATGCCCGCCAGGGGCAGTGCTGTTGAGTATTTCCAAACACAAGAAGGCTGTGTTATGCCTTAAGGAGCAAACAGTTGTGCTGGGTAAGCTTCATGCAGGCATCAGTGCACTGCGGTTGGCCATGAGTTCAGTTGCTCGTGAATCAACGATGCATAGTAAATAAGCAGAATGCACATAAAACAAGATCATGGATTGGTCAGCAGGCAAAAATGTGACCCGAGGCTAGCAGGACCTCAACCCTGCTTTCCCCCAGAAGCTATGATCTGGTGTTTGCTAACTCAGCATTCCCGGTGACTTGATAGAACACAAACACCATGCATGACAAGAATGGGCAGTATATTTAAAATCATTCTTAAGAAAAATCTGGAAGAAACCACTGGGATCCTTTTATGTCCTCTGATTTCTTTCCACATTCTTTTCCCCAAAGGCCGCCCTGATCCTCCATTGGGATTAAAGGTCGTGAGTGTGACCCCCTACTCGGTGGGGCTGGAGTGGAAGCCTGGCTTTGATGGGGGCTTGCCACAGAAATTCCAAGTCAGGTGGGTGCCTGTCGCGGCAGGAGGAGGTGAGGCAAGGCAGGGCCTATTGGAATGACTGCCCTCTGTCTCCACGCAGGTATGAGGCCCTGGGGATGCCAGGCTTCTTCTACATGGACGTCCTGCCACCTGAGGCCACCACATTCACACTGACTGGGCTGCAGCCATCTACCCGGTATAGGATCTGGCTCCTGGCCAGCAACGCACTCGGGGAGAGCGGACTAGATAGCAAGGGGTCCCAGACCACTATCACCACCCCAGGTGAGAAAGAACAGTTAAGACTTGGGCAGAGTTCCTCAGAGGACGTATAGGGGGGTACAGTGAAGTCATTACTATTATTCCCTTTTTGCAGATCAATAAGCTGAGACCAGAGAGGTTAAGTGACTTGTCAAAGGTCACACAGCTAGAAGGAGCTAGAGTTGAGATTGCAACTCAGGCAGATGAACTTAGGAGGTCAGTTTTTAGCTGCTAAACTATACTGAATATAATTAATGACTCAAAAGAAATTAGGGAAGAGTTTGAATTGCATGAAAATGAAGATTGTGAGGTGCAGCTAACTAAAGCTGTGCTTAGTGGGAAATTTATAGCAGTAAATGCTCATATTAGATTTTAAAAAAGAAAGGCCCAAACTGACATTATAAGTTTCCATCTAGAAGAACAGCAAATTGAACTGAAAGTAAAGAGAAAGAAGTAATAGAGGTAAGAGTATATATTGATGGACTAGAAAACAGAAAAACAACAGAGAAAAATCAATGAAACCAAGTTTCTTTTTTTCAGAGATCAATAAAATTTGTAAGCAATACAACAACAACAGCAAAAGGAGATACAACTTGACTATCAGAAATGGAAAAGGGACATTACTACTAATCCAACAGACATTAAGGGGATAATTGGGAAGTATTATAAAAAAAAAAGCCATTATACAAATAAATTCAGCAACTTTGATGAAATGCAAAGTTCCTTGCACTTGGCAAATGGGGAGGTATTGACTCTGGCAGGCACTGCAGGGCCATGGTTGCTTAGTCACACCAAATCTGGTTCTAACAAACCTGGGTTCAAATCCTAGCTATGTCACTTTCTAGTCGTGAGAACTTAGCAAGTTATATAACATGTTTGAACCCCAGTTTCTAAAGTTAAGGCAGATCTCAGATCTCTTGTGCCTCAGTTTCTGAAAGTAAGATCTTTTCAGACTTTTGTGAGGATTAAATGAGTTATTGTTTCTGAAGTGCTTAGATCAGGGCCCTGTACAAAGAGACCTAACTTTCTTTCTCTCTCTCTTCTTGACAGAACAGCATTTTCTATACCTACAAACTTCTCTACTTTTTTTTTCTTGTTCTTAGTCTTCTCTCTCAACACTAAAACATAAAGTACTACATTCACCTCCTTTGCTCTAGAAGTTATACCTCTATTAAGCAATCCTGAGAGCTTAGCATCTTTTTTGGTTAGCCCCCAAATTGACAATTCTGATTAAAAGAATCTTGCACACCATGAAGTGCTTATCAGTAATAATAATTATTATTGGTATTGGAATGGCTATTCATGGTATTATTCATAGTAATATTACCAGCAATTTCTAGGTCTCTTTGGGATATTCCTAAGCCATAAATCAATTCCCAGGAGTCTCAAAATTGGTTGGAAAACTTAATAGGAGACACAGAAATATTTAAGGTTTATCCCTTAATTTAAGGTTCTTGATGTTAATTTACACTCTTTTTAAAAAAGATTTATTTATTTATGCATACAAGAGCTGAGGCACAGTCCAGAGATGTGGGGGGTGAGAGGATTCACCAGAGACAGAGTGGGGAGCAGAACAGGCAGACTGACTGAAACACACTGCTGAGGGGAGCAGCGGGTGAGACAGGAGAGATTTGCTTCGCCATGTGGGTTGCTCCCTGGCGGGCCGGGGGTTGAACTCGTGCTGCAGAGGCTTCGAATTGCTTCATAGTGCAGTGCTTAACTCCTTGCACCACCAGGGAGGCTCCTAATTTACACTCTTCATATCCACCCTTCAGGTCTAGATCAACCTTCTGGAGAACCTGATGGTCAACCACCTACAGAGCCGCCTGAAGGTGAGTCCTGAATAGAACTTTCTAGTCTGTATCCCTGCCTCCTCTCCCCAGTGGCTGCAGTCCCACGGGACTAAGTTCTGTCCCTCTAATTCCCTCATCCACATCCTTAGCCTTTGTCTTGCTTGGATGTGAAAGCAAAGACATCTCCCTACACCTCCAGCATTCATCTCATTTCTTAGCAGCTAGCAGAGGGCTGTCCTAATGTTCTGGCAGAATCCCACTGGGTTCTAATTCTGATCTCTAATCACTGTGGAAAGAGGTATAGATGCACTTACTGGCCAATTGGGATGTGTCCTCCAGGGAGTCCTCCCAGAGCCCTACACACTCAGCAGGGGAGTGACCGTTTCACAGAACTTGGAGAGATGGATGCTGAGCACACCTTAGCTTTGTCTTAGAGGTACTTAGCTTTGTCTTCAGGTAAAGGAGCCTGAAGTTTGTGCAAAGAGGAAGTCATTCGATATGGAGTTTGAGAGCAAATAGTTTACTCTAGAAGAGAAGACACTTAAGGACAGATACTTGACTATGTCAGTGTCAGTGATTCTGGAAACAGCCAGTGTTTGGTTGGTGTGGATGGAGGGTCCGATCCCAGAGCTTACGGTAGGTGGGCAAATCTAGAAATGTGGGAAGAGGCCAGATCACAGAAGGTCTTGAATGCCCAGCTAAGGAGCTGATGCTTCTGCCTGAGTCCAAGCAAAGGCAGGACTTACTACTAATGACTTGACGTGAGAAAGGAATCACCTGCCCTGGAGCGGCAAGGAGTTGGCAAGGAAACCCATCCCCATTTGCCACCCTGACTCTGGAGGAGGGCTTGGCTTGGTCAGGGATGGGATTTCCCCAGAACCTGGCTTGGGGCCCAGTGCCACTTGATTTGGGCTCACTGAGGGTAACTTCCACCCCCCAGGACCCTCAAAGCTGCCCCTGCTGCCTGTGCTGTTTGCTGTTGGGGGTCTTCTACTGCTCTCTAATGCCTCCTGTGTTGGGGGCTACCTCTGGCAGCGCAGAATGAGGCGTCTTGCTGAGGGTGAGAAGAGACCCTTTTCTCTCAGGAGGGAAGCCCCAGGGTGACGGGAAGTCTCGGGGCAGCTGCATATTTGAAAGTCTCCCTGAACCAGCTGGGCTCAGGGGGGCACCTCTGACCCCTCTCTTCCTGTTTCCCTCAGGCATCTCAGAGAAGACAGAGGCAGGGTAAGTGGGGGGTAATTTCCCATTAGGGAGTGCTCTGAGAGAAGGTTTGGGGGTGACAGATATCAGAGGGTCATCAGGTAACTTTGCTCCATACCTCGAAGGTCAGAGGAGTACCGAATCAGGAATGAATATGAGGGGAGCCAGTGGACTGGGGACCGGGACACTCGGAGCTCCACGGTGAGTAGGGGGAGGGGTTCTGACAGCCCCGCAGACAGGACCTGACAGTGACGAAGATTCTGCTGTTAACTTCAGGCTAGTCATTGCCTTTTCCAGGAAATACTGAGCCAGAGGGTAGGAAGGACTTTATCTGTGTTGCTTTTTTTTGGGGGGGGATAGGTTAGCACTACAGATGTAGAGCCATATTACCACTCCATGAAGGATTTTGGCCGCCAGCTACCCCCCACACTGGAGGAGGAGTCTTATGCTCGAGGTGAGTCATGCCCACATCAGAACTACCCTCAATCATAGAGTCCCCTGATGCCTGACCAGGTGCCCTGCTCATCTCTTGCATCTGCTCCAACTCCAGGTTTCACAGGTCTTGAAGTAGAGAATATGGTCTTTCCTGAGCACCTGTACGATGAGGTGGAAAGATTGTACCCCCCGCCTGGAGCCTGGGGATCCCTCTACGATGAAGTTCAGATGGTGAGATTTGTATCAGCAGAAATCTTTCCTGGCTAGTGCCAGAAACCCACCACCTGATGCTTGTGTTAGTTAGGATAAGCTAGCTGCTGTAACAAAGAGGCCTGCATCCCATGGTCTAAAGAAGATAGTCTGTTTCTTTCTCTAATAGGTGCCAAAGGCAAGTGACTGCTGCATGTGCCTATTTCAGAACCCAAGTTCTTTCCATTGTGTTCCTTGGCCCTCCCCTAGCATGCTGTCCAAGTCTGCATGGAAGGAACCATTCAGTGGTGGGGGTGGGTATTCAACTGATGGGAAAGGGAAAAAGAAGGTGATAGAGGCACAGCCTTCCCTTATGGTTCAGGCCCAGAAATGGTACGTTCTGCTCTCATTATCCTGCAAAGGAAGCTGAGAAACGTAGTCCATCTTGGCAGCTACAGGCCTCGCTACAGCTCTGTTAGTGTGGCATAAGGGAGACGTGCATTTCCCTGGATAACTAGCCATTTCCATTCCACTGGTTAAGCAGAGTAACTATAAAGAAAAAATTCTTTGGGGCCTCCCCTGGTGGCGCAGTGGTTGAGCGCTGGGCTGCAAAGCTGCCTGCAGCCTCTGCAGTGCCAGTTCGATCCCCAGCCACCGGGCGAGTGTCCCACATGGCGCACAGACCTCTCCTGCCGCCCGCTGCTCCCCTCAGCAGTGTACTTCGTCAGTCTGCCTGTCCTGCTCCCCGCTCTGGCTCTAGTGAATTCTCTCACCCTCCCGCGCTTCTGGCTGTACCCAGTGCTTGTATAAATAAATAAATAAATCTTTAAAAAAAAAAAAGAAAAGAAAAGAAAAAATTCTTTGGCCCATTCAACTGAAGTCAAGGAATAGAATTATTTTCCGGACCACCCAGCTGAACCCAGAATTCTTCCTAAAGATGTCCCTGGCAAATCCAGGCTTGCATCCTATTAGATTAGGAGCCTTCAAAGAAAGGGAAGGCCTCCTTTTCTATAGCTCCAAAACCTTAACACTAACACTTACTGGTTTAGCTTGAGTTACAAACTCACTGCTGAACCAATCGCTGAGGCAGGAGATGGCAGATGACAGTCTTTGTGACCTTGGCTAGTGCTCTGGCGCCTATGGGTCAAGGATATCCCTGTTAGATTGTGCCAGATGGGGCACTAGGCTCGGATGGTATTTTCCCGCCTGTGCGGAAATAACGCCCCTTGACTGCTGTCCATGGTGCTGAACCGCATGTGCCCTCCAAAGCGCGGGAAGCAGCCTGCACACTCCCTCCCCCTCGCCCCCCATATAAAGAGTCTGGCAGCAAATAGGCCTCGCAGGACATACTATCTTTCTAAAAGCCACTCAACTGTGTCATTGAAATGTAAAGGCAGCCAGAGACAGTACAGAAATGAAAGGGCATGGCTAAGTTCCCATAACATTTTTTATAATGAAATTTGAATTTCATGAAAGTTTATATGTCACAAATGTTGTTTTACATTTAATGTTCCCCAATAATTTCAAAATTTAAAATAAAAAAATCTAAAAAGCATGCAAGCACAAGCATCAGGCCTTATTTGGCCCCCAGAAAAATCTGTTCTAAGTGTACTGAGCTGTAACTACTGTTTTCTCCTGTTCTTAGGGCAAAGGGCATCCCAACTAAGGACCAGAGAAATCACAAGCCACACCCCACAGTTCCCATAGCTGATATCGTGGACTCTAAAAGTTTTCATTTCTGACATCTAAATTATTTTTTGAAGGAAATCAGGAGATAGCTTGAGCTTGAATAAAAAACAATCCAGTTAGAGGGGTCAATGGGGTGAGAAGACATAGATAAATCACTATTATCAAAGGGTGGATATTGTTGAAGTAAGGTGGGCAGTTTGTAGGGATTCATGATGGGTGTTCATTCTAGTCACCATCCTCTTTGTATATGCTGGGGTTTTTCTTTTTTTAAAAAAAAAGATTTATTTATTTCTGCATTCAAGAGCTGGGGTACAGGCCAGAGGTGTGTGTGGGGAGGTGAGAGGATTCACCAGAGACAGATTGGGGAGCAGAACAGGCAGATGTACACTGCCTGAGGGGAGCAGCGGGTGAGACAGGAGAGGTCTGCTGTGCCATGTGGGTAGCTCCCTGGCTGGGGATCAAACTCATGTTGCAGAGGTTGTGAATAGCTTCATAGGTTGTGTCTTAACCCCTTGCACCACCAGGGAGGCCCTATGTTGGGGTTTTTCTATAATTAGAAGATGAAGCATTGAGGGGTGGGGGGGGCAGTTTGAGCAAGAGTGTGTATCCTCAGAGCTACAAAGCTGATCCACAGGGCATCTCTATGTAGTTCTAACTCCTCCTTTGCTTGTCAGGGACCCGGGGACCATCACTGGTCTGAGGACATGTATGAAGATCCAAGAAGAATCTATGATCAGGTGGCCAGGGACTTGGCCCCTATGGAACCTGATTCTCTACCCTTTGAGCTGAGGGGACATCTGGTGTGAAATGTCTCAACACCCTCTGCCTATACCTGTTATGTCCCGCAACATATCACAGTGGTCATCTTCACTCCGGCCTGGGCTGAGCTTGCTGAGGGAACTTCATAAGATACAAAGAGACTGGACTTTTTCAAGGGAGGACATAGCAGGGTGTGTGTAAGTGCCAGAAGCTGATTGCAGCTGGCGTGAAGGTAAACAAGACTCTTCCTAGCTTTGGCTTTGGAAACTAAACTCCTCCAAAGGAATACAGCGATGTGAAAAGGACATAGCCAAAACAATAAGGCTGTGCTGAGGGTCTTTATGCTTTTGAAGTAAAATTTTCAAAAGTGTGAAAAGACGTTTTAAAAACTCAGTTCATTTTGAGTTCAATGGCAACTGAAAGAGGTGGTAATAAGTGAAATTAAGAACTGTTGGTATATCCCACTTGTTTTACTGTTTTCCACAGTTTTCTAAAACATGATGTATAAACCGTGATACTCATGGAAACATAAACATCTATTTCTGTAGAAAATAAAATAGACTGTCAAAACCAGCTAGAGACAAAAGAACACGTATGTATGATTTCTTGTACAGACACTCTCAAGCAGGAAAGGTAATCTGGTGACAGCAGACCAAGGGGTGTTTGGGACCATGAGAAAGGAGTTTATTGCAAAATGTATGAGGGAACTTGGGGGCTGATGGAAATGCGCTTTATCATGACTGTGGTGATGGTTACATGGGTCTGTGGATTTGTCAAAAGTCATCAACCTGTGCATTTAACAGGAGTGCATTTTACGTACATAAATTATACCTCAACTAAGGTGATTTTAAAAACAAATTCCAAAGTAAAGCCGCCCAGCAAGAGAATTCTTATTCTTTATATTGAAGAGCAGGAAAAGCAAACTGAGAAATCCGTCTGTTTCCCTGATGAACAAGGTATAGTTAAGTGTAATCTTTCTTGAGGCCTCCACTTTTATTTGATTAATTTTATTATTAAAACTACTTATTCCAATAAGTCCACTAGACTTACTATGGTGATTGCTTTAAAATATATACAGGGCCTCCCTAGTGGCCTAGGGGTCAAATCTCTGTGCTATCCCTGCTACAGCCTGAGTTTGATCCCTGGCCCGCCAGGGAGATACACACATGGCACAGCAGACCTCTCCTGCCTCTCCTGCCTCTCCTGCTGCTCCCCTCAGCAGTGTATTTCAGTAGATCCACTTGTTCTGCCCCCAGTTTGTCTCTGGTGAATCCTCTCACCCCCCACACCCCAGGCCTACACCTCAGTTCTTATACAAAAAAAAAAAAATATTATGCCTGGAAAGGATAGGGTAACTATGATAAGCAAGGATTAAAAATAAATTAAGGAAAGTATTTTGTGTATTTTGTGAGGTTAAAGCAAGATCAGATAATACATGAGAGTGTGTGTGTGTGTGTGTGTGTGTGTATGAGAGAGAGAGAGCTAGCAAGCTGGGGGATGCTATGACAGCCTGGTGCTGAGGTGCCAAAACCCAAGCAGAGGGGAGGGCATGTGCAGGAGGGCCCTACAGGGCAGGCTGTTGCAGCCCCAGGGGTGTGAAAAGGACCAGTAGCTGACAGTAGTAGCAGCAATGGGACACCAGTGACATACAGGGGGGCTGATCAAAAAAACAAATCTATCAACAACAGCCAGATCTCCCACTATGAAGGAAGGAGCTCTGCATGGATCAGAATACACCGTGAGCCCTGGGTGATGCTTTGTCCATTTGATGTCCTTGAGACCACGAAGACAAATGGAAACACCTAACAAAAATGCTTCAGCACAAACAGGTGCTCACGGGAGTTTAAATTAATACAACCACTTTGCAAAACTGATTGCATCTACTAAATCTGAGCATATGCACTACCCTTTGACCCTGCAATTATACTCCTAGGTAGATAATCAATAGACATGCTTATAAATGTGAACTAAAAGACTTGAACTGAAAAGTTCATGGCTACCAGAATCTGGAGACAGTCCAAGTGTCCATCAGAGGAGAACAGACCACTAAGTTGCTTATTAACCCAATGCGTGTTGTGCCAATGTGACCAGTGTGAACCAGGGGTGTGACAATATGGGCAAATCTCGCAAACATATATTGACTCAAATAAGACTCAGAGAGAAGACACAGAAGGATTTCTTCTGCTTGGAGTTACAAACAGAGAGAACTGAGCTGTGGCATCAGAAGTCAAGAGCCATCTGTGCAGGGGGGAAGAGAGTGTGTATATTCAGAAAGGTGTTTGATAATGTTGTTTTCAGGGCTGGGCACTAGTAACACAGATGTGATCACTTCGTGAAAATGTATCACACTGAATGCTTGCGGTAAGGACACTTTTTTTTTTTAAGATTTATTTACTTATGCATATAAGAGCTGGGGTACAGGCCAGAAGTATGGGGGGTGAGAGGATTCACAAGAGACAGAGCGGGGAACAGAACAAGGCAGACTGACTGAAATACACTGCTGAGGGGAGCAGCGGGCGAGACAGGAGAGGTCTGCTGCGCCATGTGGGTAGCTCCCTGCCCGCGGATCGAACTTGTGCTGCAGAGGCTGTGGATTGCTTCATAGTGCTGTGCTTAACCCCTTGCCACCACCAGGGAGGCCCAGAACACATTTCTTTATGTGTGTTGTAAGCTATTAAACATCTTACATTCTATCTTGACATTCTATAGCATTGTGGTTGAAACTCTGTTTTCCTGATGTGGTGAACAATGCCTGGTATTTTTCTGAACGACAGAAAACCACTATCTTCACTCTACTTACTACAGAGTTTCATGGCAGCAAAAGCTAGGGCATGTTCATGCAGGTATGGACGTGTTTAATAATTTCAGATAATTATAAACTTTTTTTTTGAACCCACATGAACGCGTTCATGGGCATTTTCAAGTTGTTCAGAGCGGGGAAGCAGCGTCTAAATGAAGGCCCTTGACCAAACACGGCGCCTTCCCGCCCTTGGGGCAGCGAAAGACTTTGGCGCAACTTTCCAAAGGTCCCACCAGGGGGCGCCACCGCCCCGCTTGAGAAGAACTGAAGCATTGGAGACTCCAAGCCGCGCCCTGGTCCGGGGGTCTGGCCTTCACAGGACAGGTCTGTGCTGCAGATGCCAAGGTGGCCGTGGAGGAGGTAGCGGGGGTGGGAGAGTGTCCTCTGCAGCCAGGGGGTCACCGCGCCCCACTAGTCCAGGTAAGCAGGTGTGTGGTACCTAGGCAAGGACTGAGCCCGGGGAGGGATTTCCTTAAGCTGCTGGAGAGCCACAGCCAGAGCAGAGCGTGGTGGGACTGAAAGCCAGTGAAATGGGCATCACCAAGGTGGTCTTAGGTGACTGGATTTATCCTGTGGGTATCACAAAGCCGGTGACTCGTTGAAAGGACAGACAGCCTGTGGGAGCCGGTAACCCCTACTCCAAGCTCGTCTTCTCTCTTCACTCCCGCAACCAACGGAGTCACTCATGAGCCCAGCTGTTCTGGAATCTGGTGTCGGTGAACCCTTTTCCTGGTGACGGCCAGAGTCTTCTCTCTGGAAGCAGCAGGGCCCAGCCCCCCAATTCAGGTAGGTTGTTTTTTTTTTTTAAGATTTTTATTTATTTTGTGTAGAACTGGGGTGTAGGCCAGAGGTGCAGGGGGTGAAACGATCCATCAGACATTAGTGTGAAATGGCAGGAGTCTCCGCCCAGAAGGCCCTGCACAGGCTGGGGTCAGGCCTTGCTGCTGAGCTGTCCTACATCCTGAGGCGGGGGACGCGTGGGAGCTAATGAGGCAAATCGGGAAGGAAAAGGCTTTGAGAGAAAAGGTCCAGAAACAGGAAGCAAGTTGGTGATGGAGGAACAGCGGGCATCATAGAGGGTGAGGGGCAGGGGAGACATAGGTGCTAAGGCAGGGAAGGGGAGACACCAGATTGTCAGGGACGCGCTTCGAAGCTGGGTGAGCATTTATTTTATTTATTTATTTATTTTTACTTTTTTTTTTTTTATAGAGGCATGTTTTTATTTTATTTATTTATTTGTTTGTTTGTTTGTTTTGTTTATACAAGCACTGGGTACAGTTAGAAGCACGGGAGGGTGAGAAAATTCACCAGAGCCAGAGCGGGGAACAGAACAGGCAGAGTGACGAAATACACTGCTGAGGGGAGCAGCGGGCGGCAGAAGAGGTCTGCGCGCCATGTGGGACCCTCCAGTGGCCGGGGAGCAGCCGGGAATCGAACCGGCACCGCAGAGGCCGCGGGCAGCTTCGCAACCCAGCGCTCAACCGCTGCGCCACCGGGGAGGCCCACGGGTGAGCATTTATTTAATCGCCATGGGAGCTGGTGACGTACCCTTTGACCCTGTTCAATTACTAGATTTCTGAGTAAAACAGCAAATCTTGCCAACCTAAGGTGGCTTTGGGGATCCTCAGACACACGGGTGATGAATGGTGTACACCTCACCAAGGGCCAGGCACCAATGAGACTGTGCACACACAGCTCTTCATGATCACAACCAGCACCTATTGAGCACCTGTGGTATACCAGGCTGTGTGTGTCCATGAACTCATGGGCTCTTTCTAACAGCCCTGTGAGACCACTCCTATGATACTGTTTTACTTTTATTTTTAAATTTTTTAATGCATACAAGAGCTGGGGTGTAGGCCAGAGGTATAGGGGGTAAGACGATTCACCAGAGACAGAGTGGGAAGCAGAACAGGTGTGTAACACAACCAACCCGTACCGGGTAGGTTCATTAACGGTTCTAGCAGCCATGTTGTCATCGCACTCTCTGCCTTTTGTAGTTGCCATACTCCGCTGCGCTCCTCCCTAGACGCCTCCATCCTCGACACCGCACCACCCCCCTGCACTCTGCCGCGCCACCCTTATAAACCCAGCCTCTCAGCCCAGGTGTACCCACCTACGCATGCCCACACCCTACTCCAGGTGTCCGCCATCAGGCATGCATTCAGGTCCGCAAGGATCCACCATTAAGCCCAATGGTGGGAGGGCAGAAAAACCTAATACTTTACCTACCCTACAGTCCACCCCCTCAGGGTTTTCTGCCAGACGGTCTATACAAGTTATAGATACACGTTTCTCTTGGCAATAGGAACACTGCAGCCATGGCCCGCAAAAGCAAACGAAATACATCACAATATAACAACATACAACAGGACACAAATGAGTCCAGGCAGGGCACCAAGCTAGTGGCAAAAGACAAGATTATTGGCACCAGCAGATGAGCCACCAAATCTGCTGCCGAAGGCACCGCTCATACGAGGGAAGGGAACCACTCACGGCATCCGCCGTCACACGCCAGGAGCCGTCAGGCTTCCCGGCCTTCTCTGGCTGTGGTCTCGGCCACAAGCCTCACACCGCATCCGCCCCCGGGATGCGCTCACTCTTGGGTTGGCGATTCTGCACCGTTGGGGGTAATCGCCAGCCCTCAGGGTTCTCTGTCTGCGGTCACTCCAACACTCGGCTTTCCTAGCCACCAACATAGCAAGTGGACCCTTGACATTTTCCTGGATTTCCATAGAGCAGAGTGCATTCTGCTCCTGTGTCTGCTAAAGCCAAAACCCTTTGCACGTTAGTCGGGGACCAGTGGATGGCAAGCTCCACACGTGGCCTCCGGTCCCCGCCCGTCCCCTGTGGACGGGTTCCGTGGCCCTCACCCTATTCAAAGGCGATCAGGCCATTGCCCGAGGACAGGGTTGGCAGCAAGTGGTCTTCCGGGCTCAGGGCATGCGCCTGAGGCCTGGAGCTTCCAGGCTTGCCCTGGGCAGCAGTCTCTTTCATGGGCGTGAACCTCTGGTCGTCTTGCAGCTGCTTCCATAATTTTAGCAAATATGCCTTGGGCTGTGCATGTATTTTGGTGGGATCTACACCTGTTCTCACTAAATCTGTCCACATTTGGTTATGGGTAACTTTAACAGGTTCTGTGATGCCAAGAGGCTTCCTTGCCCTCCTTGGCATTCCTCTTGACCTTTCAACAACTACCTG